AGGAATGCCTGCTGCCTCAGCACACCCGTGCCCTCAATAGGAGAAGCGGTATCTCCCCAATACCCTGCTCAACTGCAGAATTGTTTGATTTCAGACTCTTCTCTCCCCTCATCCCGCAATGAGAAATGCATTTGATTAGAAGGTGCAGAACTTCAGCTAAGGACCAAGAAACTGGAAAATTTTACCTGTATGTTCTGTAAGGCTGATCCATGTTAAAATAGTGGATAAAGGACAAGGTGGTGAGAGAGTAACTGCCCTCATACTTCCCTGAGTGTCCTGAAAACAAAAAGCCGGTACAGATGTATTTTGTAGAAGAGATATGAAGGCACGCAAAGACTACAGCTCAAATTCCAAAGGTTTGGGTTTTTTCATCCATCCCAAACATGGTTTCCATCACCTGTCTTTGGCAGGTCCTGCCTTAACACGCTGGTTTGTGTGCATGCCCCAGCGAGGTACCTATCATGAGACCAAGTGTCTGTAAGGTTAGAGAAGCCTTTCAGTGTCACACAAGAAGCCCTTCTAGCCCCAAGTCCAACAGTGAGTAACAGATAGTAAGTAAAACACACTGGAACAAGATGAGCACAAAATGATACATCCCCATAATACTCTTCTAACTTCAGCAACTTGCCTCAGATTTGCTAAGGCAGAGGTGGTGTCTTTATAACCCGGAAGTGCTTTAGTTATCAGAATTGATACCATTTGTTCCTTGCACGTGGAGACACAAAACTCTTCTGAACAAACACCGAGTCTGAGGCTCAAGTAGGTGCATCAGAAATGAAGTGAGGCCTCAAACGTAGAAACATAGCAATGTCTACCTTGTAGCAGAGAATGAACCAAGTAAACTCTACTTGTCACCCATCACAATGTAAATGGTGCATATTCATCCTATGCCTCCCCCAAAAAATCACAGCAGATAACCTTAGGCTTTGGTTCTACAAGTCAGCCTTTTCAGACTGATGGGATCCTGTGCCATTGGGTTCCCACATCCTTCTGCAGGACCTGATCTACTAGCTTGCAGCAGCTCCAGGATTTCTCTATTCAATGATCCTAAATGCAGCCATTCTGGGTTTAGGGATATGGAAGACCCCAAAGCAAGGAAGAGGAAAGACACTGCCAGGAATCTGCCGTTAGCAGGCTTTAACCTGAAAAAGCCTACAGGAAAACTGGGAGCTGCTACCAACCTCTCAGGATGGTCCCCTCCACCCAACTCAACTCTCTCATAGGATCCCAAGTGGGCTCAGATACTGGGGTCCCATATGGTATTTGAAATTCTTTGATGAAAACTTGGCCCTTCTCCATCGAGAATAAGAATCTGGAGTGGACATGGACCTGATATAGAGACATAACTATCTGCTTTTAAACACTTAGATATTGATATTGGTCAAGGACTGACTTGCTAAACAAAGGAAGTGATAACAAGAACTACAATGATAGTCTTATCACAGAACTGGCTAGAACTTGTTAACAACTGTTGAAACCATCAAGTAAGAAGAGAGCATGTGTAAATGATTGAACTTCATCTAAAAGACAAAAGAAGACCCCTGAAGAAGTAAACGACCACCAGAGACAGATCATTGATAACATAAACTACTGACGCAAACCTTTTGAACTACTCCGCCTCACTTCATATTTATGTTTTGTATTGCATAATCATATGAATATGTATGCTTTTGTGTAATAAATATTTGCCTGCTCGCCGAAACGGTGTGCAAGTTAGGAGGAGCGATCCCCCTTGCACCCGGTGCTGTAATAAACATACCTGCTTTATCACTCATTTTGAGTTGTGAAGTTTGTTTCCGCACATCAGACTGCAGGGGCAATTCCTGTGATGAAAAGACAATGCTGAACACTAAAACACTTCACCTACCTGTACTTGATAAAATGAGATCTACTAAATACTCACACATTTACAAAAGTTTTTATTGCACATTCTTGAGTTAATTTACAATAAAATAAAGTAACTGCAAATTCTGTTTTCCCCATCTCTGTAGTACAAAGATCTGCAAATAAACAACTGATTTTAGGAATACATATGCCAACAGGCGTATAAACAATTCGTTTTTAAACAGCTCTTTTCTTCTACTGGTTCCTTCCCAAAAAGTATTTAAAAAAGGGTTAAAAAGAACACAACACAGAAATACCTTTTTTTTTAGTGTTTGGGCTTACCGGAAAAAGAGCTCTGTGTTTGGAAGAACAACTCAGGAGACCAGCCAGTTACCCCTCCCAAGATACCTGCTGAATAATTTGCACTTGAGAGGACATTCTTGCCTTCTGAAGGGCAACAAGTTTCCAGGACTGTATCATTTAAAAACAAGGCCTTGGTGACACCTGCAGACACAGGAGTTGATAGAATCCTGGCTGTATTTCCAAGGTTTAATTTCTCATTTCTGAAGCACACGTAATTTTCACTGCTGTCTTTCCTTTCAGAAATAGAGTTCCTGCCAGTGTGCCCACAGGTCGATTGCAAGTCAGTAGTAGTCCAGCCAACTGTTTTTAAGTTTAAAGATGCAGTTGGTTTCAACCTTTTGTTTGCAGATGGAGGGATCCAGTCCTCAAAGCTGGCACGCGGTTGGCTGTTAAGGAACTGCTGTGAAACAGAGCTATTATTTTCTTTGTCTTCCCTGTTACCTGGCCTTTCACGTTTCACTAACCTGCCAGTAAGCTGCTGCAACAGAGTGTTTTGAAAGGAAGACCTAGACCGCTTGCCTTTGGAATGGATTTTAGTGGGATTTTTAGGGGTGAAGATAGTGACAAAAGAGCTTCTTTCCCCAACAGGCCACAGTTTCTGGAGAGGTTTTGTCATAGGAGTTGACTGTGAATAAGGAACAAAGTCCTGCACACTAACTGAATTGCATTCCGAATCCCAAAAGGAGTAAGTTACTGGTGTACTGTGCTTACTAAAAGCAGGAGGGGACCTATGTAGGGATGAGCTCTGTTTTGAACTGTTACAGGGAACATCTCCAGGATAAAGCACCAATTCAGGAGCTGTGACCTTTTCTGTCAAAGTATCTTCCTGTACTAAAGAATCACATGATTTATTTAAAAATTCTACAGGTTTTGATACCTCTCTTGCACTTGCATCAAAGAGATCAGCAGAAGCATTGTAACTGCCTTCAAGGAAGCTATTGTTCCACAGCATCTCTCTCCTATTAACAATTTTGAAGGTATTTTCTGACAGTTCTGTCAATGGTTTTAATTCTCTTTTATGTGTCTTTCTTGTAATGTTGGGAGTTGCTGGATCAGAGTCCCATGCCCCTGTGAATGTAAGATCTGCTCTTTGGCTTGGTGTAGAAAAAGAATTTTCTTTATTTTCACAACCAGCTAAAGAGCTATCATGTGCAGAATGTACACAGGTAGCTGCCTTGCTGCTTCTTAAACAGGAGGTTTCTCCATGTTCAGCAGTACACTGCAGACTAATAAAAGAGCAAGCTGACTTCGAAATGTCAGTATTTGCTTCTTTGGACTGCACGTATCTGCTCTCAGAAACAGAAAGCTCTGATGTAACTGGCAAGGACTGTGACAGAATAGAGAGATGAGGGTTAGGTGTAAAGCAAGATGCTCCACATACCTTGTCAGCTGAAAACAAAACACTAGAGGAAGACTCACATTGTGACACCTCATCGCTCAGAGGATTTGCATTTGACTGAAGGCAAGCAAACACCACATTTTCCCAGCTATCATTCTCTGCTGGTGGACAGAACCTCCCCAAAACACTCACTTCAGGCAAACTGCCAGCTACTAGGGTTTGCCTGGGATATGCTTTGTGAAGATTTACACCCAACTTGCTACTTTCAAGAAGGGCATGTTTGCCTGCTTCAAGGCTGGGTAATGTTACAACACTCTTGCCATCTTCTATTCTGGCTAAAAATTCATTTAGGCTTTCTGAGAATGGGAGGTCATCCCAAAGCATAGAGTCCACCTGAGACACTCCAGCTACATTGACGTGATGAGAAGCTGAGGCATCTCTCTTGTAAAAGAGGGAGTTGTGGGATTTTTCTCTGTAAGAATGATTTCTACTATTAGTCTTTGGGTAAATGCTTTTCACTCCAGATTCCAAGGGATGTTGTAAAAACCTGGAACTGCTTCCATGTGAACACTCAGTCTTTGAAGAGGATACTCTCTCTAATTTCTCAGTTGCAGAGGTACTGTCAGTTCGACTAGGCTGTGAACTCAATTCATTATCCTCCTCTTTATCCTCTTCCTTCACAGCAGAGCTGCAAAACCGTGAATCCCAAGGTGTTTGATTGTTGAGGCTTACACTGCATGATTCTGCAGAGACAGGCCTCCCTTCTTCTTCATGCTGTTCACTCACCAGCTTTCCTACTTCAGGAGTGGGAAAGTCTTCTGCTGTTGCCCAAGCAACAGATGAAGTCAGGCTGAAGGACAGCTGCCAGGACTCTAAAAAACTTTCCCTGCCACTAGACTGAACAAAACGGGAGTTTCTGCTCAGGCTAGACAAGCTGCTGAGCTCACTGACAGGTTCATCTACTGGAGCTGAAGATGCATCGGATAAGTATGAGCTGCTATTACAGCTCCTGAATTTTGCTGACTGCAGGAGCCGATGGAAGTAGCTGATAACAGTAAAGCCGGTAACAGCAGTGTTTGGCAGGAAGATCTGGCAAGCTGTAAGGTTTTTCGTATTTCTATTAATTCTGGAACAGTTTTGCAAGATGCTGCTGGCAGCAGAACACCCTCCATCTTCACTTGCACAACCCTGAGGGAGGAAAGAAAAAAAACAACTTAGTAAAATGCTTTATTTTGCGACAGAAAAAAAAAAGGCACATCTTTTAAGTCGGGCTTATATTTAGGTCTCACTTTTTGTCACGATCTGCAGGGAAGAGAATACAAAACAGTCCGTCACACAAAGAAAGCAGTACTCCCTGGGAAATAAACACTGGCAAAGGCTATTAAGGGCATCACAGCGAGAAGTTCTTTGCTTGTTGCAATTACACAGAGCTTTGGAGGTGGAAAAACAACCAAGGAATCTAAGAAAGGACTTCACAGAAAATTTCTTCCTCCCTTTAGGGCACTGGATGCTTCCGGGCTTCCTGCAGTGCTGTCCTGTGCAAATGGCTAGCTGCCTAAGGCCAATGCTTGTCTTTTACCTTGGAGGTGCTGGGCAGTACTTGAAGCAAAGCACTCTGGTACCAGATATCTGACTTGGCAGCCCAGCTATCAAAGCCAGCATGGTATTTGTTATGTGCTACCTCTGTGAAAGGGAAACAAGCTACAATCTTTATCTTTGCAGATTTATTTGGAAATTAGTGTTTCAAAGGAGCTTCAGCTGTAATTCTTTATAGAACCTGCTTCTCTCTGCACAGAAATTACAGGTGAAAAATTACATTAAAAGCAGAGGGAATTATCTAATGTTTTGAGAAGTGGTTAATCTTTTTTCGCCTTCCACTCAAGGTCTGCCAATGCCAGTGAGGCCAAAAAGCAAATGTAGCTATCTTCAAATTTAACAACCCTGCTACTTCCTGAGTCTATGCAAAGGTTGAGGCTGAAGGCAACACCCTTCTAGGTAAGACTTAAAAAAGTATGTTATGTTGATTCCGAGTTTTATCTGGGAGAGTGCAACTGCATGCATAGCTTAACAAAACTATACAGAAACGTCTACAGCCAGAGGCTGAACAAATGGTCTTCAAATGTGCGTTCAGTCCTTGTGTGTGCAGGAGCAGCAACAAGGCTGTTGATATGTAGAATTACGTATATTTGTAAAGGCATCAGACCTAGAGACCTGGTGAATCGATCCAGTTAAGTAAAGTCCTCCAACTTCCATAACTTAAGATGCCATGAATTAGGAAAATCTCAGCTCAGATACAAATCTCATGGTACCTGTGGGAGAGGAAAAGCACCTGCCAGGTAGGATTTAGTTCACAGACTTCATACTATGAATGACTCACACAAGCACTTGAAGAGAACTTAGAAGACTGTTTCTATGGAAATATTACTAAGAAATAATATTTCAAAGTCTGTTAAATACATAAAAGAGCCACAGATGCATATGTTGAACAGCTGTACTTTATCAACATTTTTAAACATGCTCTTACATCCAGAAATATCAAAATGCTGCAAGGGGATGTGTTTCTCCTTCCATTTCAGACACCAGGAGACTGTGTAGCATGTGAAAGGTAGGGCAGTGCTCAAAAAGACAGTCTGTTTCTTACTTGAACTGTAGATGCTTTTTTACAGACTCCAAGCTGTTACTGATATGCACAGGAGCTGGCACTGCTCAGGCTCTCTGAAAAGCAGCCCTGACAAGCTGTCAAGATGACTACTGCCATTCAAGATGGCTTTTGGATGCGACTCATTTAAAATAACATAGGAGTCTGGGGGAAGAGGAGCAGAATCCTTCCCATGTCCTAGTCCTAAATTGTCTCAAACTCCCAAAAGATGTAGTACATGATGCTTTGATAACTCAGTCTATGCCCCCAACTGGCTACAAGCTAATGAAAGAACTAATTATAGGAGAGTAATGTGGATTAAAAGTTACCTTCACTCCAAATATAAATCTTCTTCCAATGAAACAGGATTCCACTGCTTGAACTAACACTCCTGGAGATGCATCTGTGTTTGTTTCTCCTGACAGATGATGGAAGTCTTGAATACACCTTGAGTAAAAACATATAGAAGTACTGCACCAACAGAGGAAGCCTTAGCTGTAGTATAGGTAAGACATTTTAGCTGTAGTATAGGTAGGACACGTGCTAAAGAAAAGATACCGTGGCAGCTTAAACTAAACGTAGAATGAAAACAGGAAACCAGGAACCTATAAATTCAATTATTTACCCCACTTAATTTGTTAGTGAAATAGAAGTAAACAAAACAACCACTTTGAATAGGTTCAATACACATACAACTTTCAGGTGTTCCCTGCGTGGCTGTGATTTTTGTATCGACACAATGACTGTATAAAGCTGTCAATATGCTGCTATTGCTTACACATCCTTTCTGCCCGCATCTTTACAGTGACAGCAGCATCCATATCAAGACATGCAAGTAACTCTTTTTCACAGTTGACAGTAGTACTGCAGTGTAGCGTAGAATGCCTGCCATGAGAATGCTATTAATGCTGCTAATATGGGATTTTAAAAGTGTCCATCACAAGTCATTGGAAAGTAACAGAATTGAGAAACATGCAGTGAATGTATCCAAATATCCCATTATAGCAGTTTCACATATCAGAAAGTCTGAAGCTTACAAAGTAGGTGGTCAGGCTCTGAGGACTTACAGGCTTTCTTAGAAATCCTTCTTTGCTAAAGGAAGATCTGGTCATCTTGAAGATCAGTCATAAGGTGCACACCTTTTTTTTTTTTCAAATCCAAACCGTTACAAAAAACCCAAAACCAGAGGCTCTACCTTTCCTGTAAGACTATTCAAAAATCTTGGGGGAAAATTATATCTAAATCTCTGGAAAAGCCAATTGACTTAGTAATCTGCCATTAGACAAAGAAAATTCAATCATCTCAAATAAAGGAAGGACACAAGGAAGATGCCTAAAATTGTGAAGCTCACTTAGTAGGCTGTAGCTGCCTTCAACAGACAAGTGGAAGATCTCTTATGTAGAAGTAATCCATCTCAAAATTTCAAGATTTCAGGAAGAAACCAAACTTCAGCATTTTCTCAAGGTGATGGTACCAAGGAAATGCTGGAAGGGAGCACTTTAGCAGCTTCTTCCCACTCATCTCCCCACCATCCAAGCTCATGTCAGTTTTTTTTACGCTGAAGAAAATGCAGCAGCTATATAGTTAGAAACAATCCATTCCTTACCTCTGCAGATTTTCCGCAGTGACCCCAAAGAATGGATCTAAGCAACTTCCAAACACAGTAATGTCAAACAAATCACTAGTGTCAGCAATCTTTAGGGACAATCTATACCTGTAGCCTGTGTCTTTAGCTTCACCTGTGCAGCCACATTTTAGACAGTTAAACCTGATGAGACAGTAAAAGGATAAAAAAAGAATGAATATGTGAACTTCTGTTAATCACCGCTGAGGTAAGAACTTATCTGCAGCCTTAAGTATTACTACTATAATGTATCAAATATTCCATTACAAACTATAAGATTCTTTCTTATTCTTTACTCCTTGAGGCGTTACTCTTACCATAGGCACAGCAAGGGGTGTGTATCATGAAGAATCCCTCTGGCTTCTTTTATTGATTTATTAAATGCTAGCCTGTTGTGAAGTTGGAGAGAGACAGTGGACTTTGAATGACCTGTTGGGGAGTAATTTTGAATTCCCTGCACCCCCTTTTTTCCATTTCATTCTGGTTTGGGATTTTTCTTCCTGTAGCCTTAGTGTAACACCTAGATTTAAAAAAATCATCAGGAAATGGCACTATTGTCTTTTAATTCAGCATTTGAAGCAACAGATATTCTTGCTTTGCCAAGTCAGCTTCTTCCATTTAGTGTTGACATTCTTTGACTTACTGTTGTTCTTTGTGTCATAAATTTCATATAACAGTGGGATTAAAAAGGGAAGTTCATAGGTTTCTGGACACACAGTAAGTGGAAGAGTCATACCTGATGCACTGCACAGATAAAATGAGATTTAAAAAAAAAAAAATAAGGACTTGATTTGGAGGGGCTTTCAACCAGTGCTTTCCAATTTAGGAACAGCACTGAAGAACTGGACTGCAGGGGATGCACTTGGAAGCTATTAACGCACATCATTTATTCTCCTAAACTGTCCTTTGATACTGCATGGCACTGACTGCAATAGAACTCTCAATCCGTAATGACCTCCAAGCTGCTACTGGAATACAGAGAGGTCTAAATAGTGATAGGTAACATAAATATCTGAAATTAGCACTTATTTCTACAATGGCTGGATTTTCACCAATTTGTTTTAACTTGTGTTCAGCTCACAGAGATTCCTGAGGTCTCTGACAGTTACAGTTAATAATCCCCAAAACAGAACGTACCTTCTAGAATCCAGTATCAGCCTAGAAAAGCATTTTTGACAGGCAGGATAGATGAAGCAGGAGTTCTGGACAGAAATTACGGAGGCAGCCAAGAGTCCTCTCACACTATTCATGTGCTCACAGCATCACCTGAAACAAGTAAGTCAAAATGGTTCAGAGTTCTCATTTTATGAGATATTAACTGTTTTTAGTGGGGTGGTTTGAACATTTTGAAAGGCAGTCCTCAGGATATGATGATCTCTGTTTGAAAATGGGAGCCCAATTGAGGCAACATCTATTATTACCCTTAATTAACCCTTTAAGAAGGGAAAAAAAAAAGATATCTAATAAGAAGCAAGTGTTCATGATATTTGCACACTCTTCCAGATAAATCATGCAAATTCCCACTTGTATTTAAGGAATCTTTATTAGAACTATCCTTGAGCACAGCACTGCAGTAAATCTGTTTGACTTTTTCCCTTAATTTAGAATGAAGTCACAACGTGGGGTTAAAAACTAAAATGATTCTGCACTTGTAATTCTGCAAACACCTTCAATACCAATGACTTTGAAAGGAGATGATGCCCAGAAAACCTCAAAAAGGCTTGCAATTGCAACTATATCCATACCCTTTGAGCCAAAGGGACAGCTCTACAGTATTTACCATTGATTTCAACAAAGAGGCCATATGGATCTGACAAATAAGTTATGAACTAAGTATTTAAATAAATAAGAATTAATTTAATTTTTATTAAGTTTTACTTTCCTGCAGAATTATTTTGCCATTATTATTACTATACTGTACAAAATACCAATTTTTAGGAAACGTCCTGTATTTTAGAAAGTTAACTTTTTTCCAGCAGATGCTAGAAAAATGCAGACAAAATTACCCTACAATACCTCAAATCATAGAGTTGCAACTTAAATGACTGAAATGTCAAAATGTCACTACAGCTGAATTAAAGAACATCTTAAAAATCCTTCTTTGCAAAAGCCCTTTATCACACTAATAGCTAAATTTAAATCTCTTTTCAATGTAAGCTGCAGAATAAACTCAGAATAGGAAGTGAATGTCACATCTTCGGCCAGAAGTCCCTCAGGGAGGCAGAAGATGAAGGAGATAAAGGAGACTGAAGAACGGCTTTTACATGCTAAAAGCCATTCAATAATCAACAATGATGTTTTGTTCGTATTTTGCCACAAACTAGTTCAAGTCAGAGGCTATCCCTTTGAGCATTCTCAGCACTCTGGTAGAAACAAGATCTGTAACATGAGTACTGGAAAAATGTGAGTGACTAAATTCATTACTCTGAGCGGTTTGGAGGCAAAAAAAATAGTCAGATATCCAAATACTCCCTAGGGCAAAAAGGGCAGGAAAACAGAGGCAGGAAAAGGTAAAAGCTTTACTAGGGGGCCAACCAAAATGAAAAATCGCTCTTCAGAACATGTATTAACAGAGACTCATTTGACCTGGTATATTAAATGGCGCATGCCTTCAATTCTTGCCAAAATGGAACTATTTTGCTTTAGTTACAGTACAAGATACCAGTAAATACTGCAAGTAAAACATACCAATTTACAGAAAAGAAGTAATAAAAGTAAGTCTGAATTTGTTATTGCCCAAGAAGGTGAACTTGGAGAAAATCAGCGGGTGCTTCACATTCCAACTGGTTTTCAACTCAGAACTATATAAACAAAGTGTACTGTTATCTGCAGTTTTTAATGAAATAAAAAAAAAAATCACACACCCCAGAAAACACAACAAATACTTCAGGTGTTTCATTGGAACATAGGAGATAAAGCATAGCATGTATATATTCACACAGGTTCTGGTAAGAGCTCCCTTTAGAGCAAACAGACTCAAGAGCCACACCTCTATTTCTCTTTGGTAGAAATATGGCACTCATTATCTGGCCACAAGCGAAAAAAGAACAGTAGAAATAGATCAGGTTTGCATTATTATTTTTTTTTTAATAAACAAACCAAACCTCTGGACCCACCACGGGGCACTGCAGGTGCTCCCCACAGCAAGCCTCCAAAGAAATTTCCCTGTTAACAGCCCTGAAGCCTCACCGAGCTTTCCACCAGTGCCTGGTGCCCTCTAGTGGGATCACTGCCTTTTCAAACCCCCCTAAGGAAAAAAAAAAAAAAAAATCCCACACAAGAAGAGTTGTAACAGGTCTCACACTGCAAGTTTTACCCCTTAACCAGCACTCTCCTCTCACTCCAGCCCCCAGACGCCCCCGGAGGCCGACAGCGAGCAGCCAGGCCGAGCTATCCGGGAGGGGGCACAGGACCAACGAGGATGCTGAAGGCCGAACGGAGCTGCCTGGCTTCACCCACCCACCTCGCTCGTCCTGGGCGCTTTAAGCTTTGCTCAACACCCAGGAAAGGCTTCAGTTACTGAAATATTATCGCTCTTACCGATGTGTCTATTCTAGCGCTCCCGTGACCAAATCGAGTCTCCGTCTCCCGGCCGCAGGGGCCTCCCTGAAGGGGAACGGTGAAGTGCTGTCACCGGGGCCAAGGGAACGGGCAGCTGGCGGCGGCGGTGCCGCCTCCCCTCGGTACCCTCAGGCCCGCACGGCGGGGAAACAGCGAAAGGTGGTTATCGTGGCCATACCTCCATCGCCTCAGCTCCGGCCTCGGGGAAGCGCCGCCTGCAGCACGGCTCCACCACCCGGCCACAGCCCGAGCGCCCAGCTTTGAGGCGAGCCCGGAAGACGGAAGTGCAGGTTGCTGAGACCCGTTGCTGGAGGCGGGGACGAGGCGGCGATCACCCAATCCGAAACGCAGTCCGGAGGCGGGGCCGCCCCACTTACCCAATAAGAACGCTAGGATGCCAGCCTCGTTCTCACAAGTCCCTCACACGGCACCTAGCGACGAGAAGGGCGTATCATGTGCGCCA